TTTCAGGGAGGCGAGTAATCCCTACTAGTGGCTTTGCTCAGTGGATCAGTCATCAGTGCAGAACGACGCCGTGTTCGCTGAATACTGACGCAAACATATTGTTGTAATAGGGAAGTCTAGATAAGCGCCAAGATCGTGAAACTGACGGTCGACAATACCGGTACGGCTTAGGTCAAAGATGTCAGCGACAGCTGTCTCTATAAAAAAAATTGAGAACACGATCACCAGAAATTCAACAAAAATCGGTCATCAAACAGAGAACGGATTGACATACAAATCCGATTATCGTGAGGAAAGAATTCCCATAATTTCCGATACTAATACACTGAGTGTGAACGATCACACTATACTGTTCGTAAGCAATCAGATGGAGACACAACGACGTGTTGATGTGACCGAGGAAAAATAAAGGGAACGTTTCAGTACAATCCGGCAAGAAGTGATATCTTTCCTACGTGGACTTGCCACTGGCAGACTTGGTGTCCCGGCATTATTGCTATATGCAAATGGGTGGTTGCGTTTGGGGTGTAATTGAAGCATATATACCTGTATCGGTTTTCTGATCAGGTGATTCTTGTACCATACTAGTTCTTGGCTCACAACACTAACAAATTTAGCAAAATTGCTGGTGGACAGAATACAGCGCGCCTGACGGAACATTAAAACAGCAGTGCCTCTCAATCCTCTGAAGGAATAGGGCATAATAAACAGACAATGTGTAACTGACTTACTTACTGCTCAATGGCATTGATGCTAATAATCGTTGTTTGATCAGGCTCTCTAGAACGTCTCAGTGGAGTGAGCCAAAGACAAGGCAATTAAATTATTTGTATTGTTTGTTCCCGATTCATATAATTTTCGATAGGGGCTACCTAATGGAGATAACACATGGAAAGTTTAGATAAATTTTATTTTAAAAGTTTTCAATGTTCATATTTATTCTGCCTACATAAAAGAATTCGCCTGATACACGATGTCATAACCTCTAATGGCTTTTCTGTGCTAATCTTAAGAAAATCTCTTTTGCTGTTTAGTTTTGAAGACATATAAGCGAATATGTTTTCGATAGTTAGAGTGAATTATCGATCGGATTTATGGCGGAAAGACCGGGTCACTGGTCACTCACTCGGTGGTGGTTTGATTGGTCCATTGCGTCACGCTCCTCCATTAATCTAACCGCGCAATTTGACCATCGATCCGGTGGATTTAATGCCAGAGCAGACACAGTGCCTAAACAAACCGCTTTTGATGTCACAATACTGGACCAAGCACTCCGATTCCTGTGGCTTCGACGCTACAACGTTCCTACTCGGACGGCATTTGATAAGTTAATTGGCACTTGATAGACCACTTGGATGGCTTGATCATTATTCCTCCGATGCTCACTTTCGATCAGATGAACGGAGGTAGCACTGTTGATCGATCATCTTTCCCCGTACCCCAACTAACGCGGCCGGTTTTTCCGAATTGCTTCCGAAAGTTGTTTTAATTTTCGGCCGACACAACCTGCTGCACAGAAACTCGTGGATGAGGTTTGAACTATCTTTGTTCTAAAACTAGAGAACTGAGGACGTTCTGAATTAGATACGGCTGTGGTATAGGTCCTAATGATTATCCATTCGGGTCTGTCTGTCAGCCATTCTATGGTATTGTCATCTACGGGCGGCTCTCGAATGAAGACCGGCTTCTTTCTTAAGTCCTACACTTCAGGTTAAGATGCCGTTCGGACCTTGTCTCCGATGAACAATCACTATCATGAAATATTTTTCAGTAAATTCAAGCTCATCATCTTGTACATCCACTGAGTGAATTCTATGTAGTCTGTCATTCCGGCAGCACGCCCTGTTCCTCTTTTATTCCAAGAGGACAAAACCGAGATTCTGTGTATTCCTTGGGTAAACTCTGCAATGGATAGTGCTCTCTATTTGTAGAGGTAAATGAACATTTAGGGATTGTATTTGCCATTCAGTCTATTTTGTTAGGGAGTTCATTTCTTGACGTCCAGAAACCGCCTTCGTCCTTGAGAAAAAAGACGATTGACTTTGTCCTAGTTAGTGGACCTGCTCAGAGCGGCCGAGAGGTTACCTTGGCAAGTTTCTACCCATCCAAATTTTCATTCCGCTGTGTCCATTGGTGACACTAACCATTTTTTCGGGTAAATGGCCTCCTCTTTTGGTTTGTCTTGGGAGCGAATACGGAGACAGTCGCAGTACTTTTCGGGACTGAGATTTCGTGTTAATTATTACCGGGAGTAGAATCCGAACTCTGTCAAGCGCACTACGATAGCAAGGACGAACCAGCGTATGGTGTAGGAGGGTTTACAACATATTTCCCAAGCGTAAGCTTAATTGATTGATGAGTGCAAGTGAATATGTTGAGTACAGTGCACAAAATTGTATCAGAGTTAATGATGCCAAGTTTCAACGATACTGACTGAACTGGATTACGGTGGACTGAGACATGGTACTATCGAGCACACCCATAAATACATCGGCTAACAGAGATCCGCTCCATCTGTCTGTCGATACGCTACACCGTTGAACGACAGCTGTGCGTAGAAGGTGCATCGGATCAGAATCCACTTCGACCTCATTGCTGACATCCCATTATCATATCCAGTCTCAGACATGTAATCATATATAAACTTTGAATAGTCGCAGTCAGAAGATAAATGATGACATGAATTCATTTCGCACACTCTCCAGTCGTAACCTCCAGACTAGCGTGAAAACGAACCGACTAGACTTAAATAAAACGGTTAAAAGTACAAATCGGGCTGGATCGTGACTTGTACGCACGCCTAAACCCGCGATAAACAAAGACTGACAGTCAGTTGTTTTGTACGCACAGAACCGGCTGTCGATGGCTGGTCAAGAAGGCTTCAATAAACTTGAGAATTTGTGAGCTGAGCGTTGGTCCTAACAAAAGTACTCTAGGGAATAACGACGCTGTGTCCATTCAGAACAATTTCTGTGAATTCATATTAATGTCTCACCTGCAGTTGGTAAGTTCAAAGGTGCTCCGTAGACTGAGCGGGGTAATCGCTTTTCGAACGGGTTCAAACAGTTTCACTAGCCACTTCGTTGTTGAGTGTAAGACGATCTCACCATATCAAGTACTGGACGAACTGCCATACCAGGTCTATGGACTATTGTTAACCTGTAACGATCAGGTATGACGGAAAACAGTGGTCGTAGTTGCTCATAAGTTGTGGTGGTTATCAACTTTTTGTACGTTAAAGACCTAAGATATTTAGCTCTCTGGCGTTTGAAATAACCACTTTTGTTCCTTCTGTTGGCGACTCTTCGAACCTTGCTGTGGTCTGCATGAATATTTTTCATTTCCTCAACATAGGTGCTTCTGTTCATTGTGATCATTACAGAGCCTTTGTCTGACCCGTTAAACAATATATGGATACTCTCAAAGTTTCTTCAGTAGATTCCTGTGCTTCTTAGTAAGAAGCCTTCTTTCCCTCTTCGATGCACTCTTACAGTATGGCCGGCGGCAGTTAACAATTGGAGTACGAATACTTCAATACCATTGATCGAATGTGAGGTTAAATCTTACGTTTGACCGAAAAGATTCTCGACGCGCACCACAAGTTCTTGACATTTTTCCTTTCGTTGTGGACTGTAAAATTTATAACCAAATGAGGGCGCTTCAAGTGTGATACGGTCAAGTTATAAATTGGAAAAGCGGTGGACGTACCTTTCTAGATAATCTGTAAATTCTATTTGTACCCCAGAAGAGGAGATACTGTGCGATAGTGAATTCCACTTCTTTTGATGTCTTCTGCTAACCACAAGATTCACGAACAAATTAAACTATTCCCGTTCCTGAACTGCGTGGTTTTTCGATGTTGATTTCCGCTGCGCAATATTCCGCTAGAATCCGACAATTCCGCTGCAGTTGGGGATCACGCTGATTTAGGTTAAAGTTCTATTGCTTTGCTTCCTATTTCCACACGGTTCTTGCATGTGGCTTACCAGTAACGTTTCGGGTATTTTTTCAAAAATAGCAGTGAGCTAGCGGAAATCAATTATCAGTTCTCCCTAAAATACTCCGGCTAGTGGATGAGTTCGTCCTTTTGCATTCCATCTTTCTTTTCAAAATTCGACGAAACGTTCGCCCTTGTGACTTAAGTGTACACAACACTGTCACAAACACCCACCAATCTACTGTATAAAATGAAAGTTGTTCTACTTTAGGAGCATCTTGCTTTGATAAACTTGGCTAGTGTTACTGATTTATTCAAAAATTGAGTTGGCCACGGCTCCTTCTGTAACATTTTCTGCAAGGGTAACATAACATGAGTCGTACGTAGGGGCGAATCTGTCATTGAGATAACATGGAATTAAACCACTGAGTGAATGCTATTCAACTGATTTAATGAGAACAAGTGGAACATGAGCGATCACATCCGTCATCCTCCAGAAAGAGAAGTACACGCAGTTGGATCGAGTACTAGGACGCAGGGTGTTAGTTGAGTAGCTCCTCGAAACTTGGTGCCGCACACGCTCATGGATCGCCCGTAACCGTCAGTTGTAAGATGCACTGGGAGAAAGGCTTAAGCTTCCATCGTTTAACCTTGGCAGTGTGTAATACGTTTCTTCGAGATCCTCGTCAACGGTAGACAAGATCGAAAGGCTTGAGAACTGTTTAAATAATGTTCATTGTTGATCAGAAGGACGAGTATGGTGCTATCCAATGTATGTTGTGATTCCGGCTTCATCCCATAAATCGTTGTGACACTCGACCACTATGACCTGCCCCACAGAAACAAGTTAAAGAGTGGATAAACGTGGGTGGGGTCTGAACTCTCGTTCTGTCACTGTTACGAAACCTTGGAATTAGGGATACTTCAATTTGAACATCACCCACGATTGATCCCAGCTGTCACATACCCATAGACTCTCCAGTCGGCTCCTTTCGAACAGCAGAAGCACTAGACTCGAGTTTCGCTCTCATTAGAGCTCGTCAGTATTGCATATCATCGCCTCTGCAGCCGGCACTTGAACCACGGACACGCTGTTCCTCAGACAACCGTGTTTACCACTGCACCACTGACCCCACGTTAGGCACGACCGAATTATCATATGTGAACACTCAATCAATTTTGTTTGTGAGTAATGATCAGGTTGCCCGATCATCTCGAGAGGAGATACAACAACTATCTTGTTAACTGCAATCGATAACCCCACGATTACGACTTCTCTCCAAGTTGAAATCACAAAAATCATTAACTTGTTGAGCATTATTCTGGTTACTGGTGGGTAGTAAGAGTGGGTAAGCGTGGGTGAGGTCTGAACTCTCGTTCTGTCACTGTTATGAAACTTGGGAATTAGGGGTACGGTGAGATGAATAGGGAATTCAGCCGTCGAAAAGTTGCTGTCTATTGTATGCTAGAGATTGTTTGTTCGCCATTCTGAAGATGTTGTTACCTCTGGACGATACAGATAAACACAGACTCTTTTCGCTTCAGAGTTTTGAGGCTTGATCATATTTCTTGTAATAAGTCGGTCTGGGTCACCGTTATCACGGTACACTATTGAAAGCCTTTGGTCCCTAATTGATGAGGAGTCGATACCCTCCGCCACTTACGATCAATTTTGACCACATGGTTTGACCACATGGTTGGGTTACCAAAATATCATAAGCTTGATGCACTGGTTCGCTGTGTACATGACGAAGTCCTATCAGATTCGATCGTCAAACGTCTAATGAATCTCCTTTATCCCGTCCAAAAAGCAGGGTAGAGTCTAAGTGAAAGGCTGATATTAGCAAACAGTATACATAAAATCCAGATAATTTTTAAAAAATTCTCTCATTGCACGTAACATCTTTGCTCACTTAGTTCACAACTCTGTGACATGAAGTGGACGCAAAATGACGCGTTAGCCACACTGGGCTTAGTTACCTAATATGTCCTGTCTGACAATGCTCCCTGACCACGGTACTGTTTGCCGAGTGCTCACACATTTCTGATTCTCAAGCCTCCTGAAATTGGGCAAGTGCATCAGCCTGAATGCACCACAGAAAATCGGGTGGTCGTATAAGTTTGTTCCACCTACTTCCCATAAGTTCGTGTATAATTCATTTACTATGGAGGTTAGCTAAGCAAACTTTTGCCTAACACTTTCTAGTGGAATTTGTTCATTTGTTGCAAAATAATACTATCGCCTTCTTATTGGTAAGGACATTGTAATGCCCGGAATTACGGACTTCGAATAGCCCTAGAAATCGTACTCGAATTGAAACCTCCCACGCAAGTGATGAAGAGAAGACCTCGTACTAGTTGCAGTAAGCAGTTCTTACTCATGAGACAAGCAGCCGAATTTATGGATATACAATAGTATTCGTATTGGCACACACAAAGTCACAAACCGTTAGCTGTTTGTGCACTACAGATCAAAGAACTTGGTGAATAACGGAAGACGTAACATTGAGGTTGTTCGTTCAATTCTGATGTACTGTCTTTAACACGACGTTTGGATTGGCCTTCTGTTAGATATTCTGTTGTGTGGAGGTTTGGATAGGCGGTTAATCGAGTAGATTTTCATCACAGACATACCGTTCAAAAATACATATATGTAGTACTATCGCCAAGTGCATTAGATTGGGGTGTAGTGTGTTAGTGGAACGATTGGAACGAAGTGTAGAATTCGGGGGACTGTCGTGTACCATGGGCGAGTGAGATTGCAGCTTATTGTGACTCCGATTCAGGTGCATTAGGTGAATCTACAGTGCACTTCATGCGCACAAAAGCTTGCTCTCAGAAAACTTTGTTAGCGAACCATTTTGATCACTCATTGCAGCCGCTACTATAACCTCGCAAAGTTTCCGTAATTTAGCTTAAATGAAAACACGCATACTCGGTAGAATTCGAGTATATGCATGTCCAAAGCACTTGTAGTTGCAGTGTTTTGCAACAGCATACCACATGGTTACATAGTTCCGTTCGCCATTTAACAAAATTAAGGCTGAGGGCTCTCCATGGCTGCATTATCTACCCTTGAACGATTTTAAATTTCGCGTTCAGCTGTGTGCTTTAAAAGTAGTTGACAGCCATTGAAAGCTAACTAAAATTGAATGAGACATGATAACCCATAATTCTGTGATTGCATACTATGACCTAAGTAAAACCAGCATCAGTTACAATGTGTGTGTGTTAACCATCTCAGTTAACTAGCAGATATACTTTAGTGGGTAAAATCCACTAAGAAATTTGTTCGACCTCATTATCTATTTTCCTCTTCTTCCATACAGCCTGTAAGCAATCATTGAAAAACGCGTTCAATCCGTGCGACACACGGAGCTAGTCAGCATTAGATTGAAACCTTGAGTTCAATCTGTTGATGCGTACTGCCATTTTCGTGTGCTATCTAGGTGAACTTGCTCGAAGTTTCGAACCAGCCCTCGTTCACTCGTGCCCTGATGACAAATGGATCGCGTGTCGATAACTCCATTTCATCCCCTCCCCCTCACTCATGCTTGTTGCCGCAAACCAAAGGGAAGCATTGCGGACAGATGGAGATGAGTAACCCACGGCAGAAAAACAGTGGCTGTGGGGGTCCAAATCAGCTGCCTTAAAACAACCGATCCTATCGTTCATTCTACACCCCATACCTGTTGTGGAATCCTACTGACCATGGAGTCAAACAAGAAACTCCGGTGTCATGCGGATTGACTTTCTGTCCCTATTCATGCTTCACTGAACACCAACATGTGCTATTTTAATCGTGACCCTGAGGGCATTACTTTTACGAGTCCCGTCATCACCGTCGTCTGTTAATGCTCCCCTCAGCAGGCTTCTCCGGGTCACGGGCTACCGCTTTCTGCGCCAAATTGCTTGTAACAAGTCCACCTGCCGTGTAAAATTATTCAGGTTAATTTGTTTGATGTTTTTATTACAGGAACTGCTGCGTACTACGTTTCTGAATGTATTTATCTTGCGTTAATCTCACTTCCAGATTTTAAATTTTTTTTTTAAACGTTTTCTTTCGGGAATACTAGCGTTACTTTGTTGTTTAACACAGTTGTTGCATTCGACCGCCGAACTTGGGTTTCTCATGAAAGTTCACACAGGTTGTTTGACTGTAATCTGACAGCCCAAATGCCCTCACAGCAGAAATGACATTTACATGCCATAACTTGGTTAAATGGAAATTCAAAAAGCTTTTTGTTTAGCTAACTGATCCGGTTGACCTCAAAGTTTCCTTTTTCGAAGTAACGGCCTAACGATGAAGACAACAGTGGTTGTAGTTAATGGATTAGTCTTGAGATGTCTGCATTTACCACCTCAACAACTTCCTTGGAATTTCAGCTGACTCATAGAGTAGACCACCTGTGCGTCAGTCGCGTAGTTAAATTCTCCTTTATTCTGAACCTGCTGGATGTCTAGAGCAGCCTATGCTCCTGTTCCAGAACCTCAGCACGTTTGTTCACATGGGACAATTGTCTGAAAAGAAAAATACTCAGTTGTACACCATGGTCCCATTAAGTTCATGTGAAACCAAAACCTCCAAATGTTTATCGCTCCATGCTGCTAGACCTAGGGAAACATTTGTAAACCAACACAAACGAGCACATACCAACTGAACACAGTTTCGCAGATGTTCAGTAAGCAAGGTTACAACTTATCTGTCTTCACTAACCGGTAATCTGTACTACTATTACTAAGGACTTGCACTCTGCTGACGTAGTAAAATGGAGCAGCCAATACAATTCTACCTCTTCTCTAACCGCAAAATACTTCACTAAAGTGACCTCGGAATATAGCCTGATATTACGTTTCACATACATTATGAGTTGACAAGCCAAGTTGGCAAGCCGTGTCTCAATCCATGCCTGGTTAGTGTGCTGCTAATTTTCCGTAAGAGCCTTAGCTGAACTGAGTGAGGTGACCCACATAGTCAACACCCTCGGTAGCGTTACACTGAGCTTAAGCTAACGTTGTTCGGTTAGGAGACCTTTCAAAGTAGACATCCGCGTAGTGTCGACAGTCCGGTACAGTCCGCAGTTTTCCGGTCCCCGTCCTATGGAGTAGGTGTCATCCGCTTTGGAATAACTATCGTCTCAGAGTTTACCGGTTATCTTGGATCCAACTGTACATCGCCATCCTACACACGATGATACGGACATGAATGTGATGAGAACTACCGCGTACCACAAACGATTTACCTGGGCTTGATATAATCGGAGTTTCAGGCAGTGGATTACATTTCCGCGCACACTAACGTCAATTGATTTTCCCTCAGAATCGTTGTCTCGACTACCACTCCATTACTTTCTTTAAGCTAGTCTAGAAAAATTACTTCCAAATTCATCCAAAAACTATGACATGATCTTCTGATCTGATAGTGTCTCAGTGTGTCCGAAGTAGTCCGAATCCATTAGCTATTTGAATCCTAGTATTATATGATGGAGGTGGGAACTACAACTGAATAATGGCAGCTTGACACCACTAACAACAAGAAATGGTATCGACCTGTTTTAGGCTGTTTGCGCGGTTAGCTGTGAAGAACAGTCTCTCAGTCGCATTAAAGTACTAGGGCAGTAAGTCAATATATTGACTAAAGATGTCGCCTAAGATTGCGCCGTTTACGCCTCTGCATCATGAAACGAGAGGCTGAACTCCACTAACGTGAGAAGTGCAAAATTCCCCGTTTGCTTTCAAACGGTCTATTTTTTTCCAAGCTACCCACTGCCGAATTTGAATGCGTGAGCAAGGAGTCGGTAAATATATTCGAACCACTTTTAATTATGGTATCATGGAAGGCGGCCAGCAAGAAAGGCAATCAAATAAATTCTCCAACCGGTTTCAAATAAGCTTAGGAATTCCTAGCGAAGAAATTTCTGTAGATCCTATGAAAACGGCTACAGCTTTACAAGGTTTTAGCGGTGGTGAAGAGTCTGATATTTTACTGATCCACAGGGATATTCCGGCCAGCTGACTTATTCCATGTATAAAAGTTTATTTTGCTCCACAGAATATTCAATCGCTTACTAGTGGGCGAAAACCTTGTTCAATTGGTTTGTTGCGTAGTGAGGTAGTGTAGGCTTTAGATA